TCTGTCCGCCCCCGAGGGGCTTGCAGCCGTCAGGGAGCTTCCAGCTCACAGAGGACAGAGTTGGGTCGAGTGACCACAGGCAGGTGGCCGGGGGCTGCCCCGGTTCGGAGACTCACAATACCTTGGACCAGCAGCGTGGGGTGAGCGGTCTGTCCCTGCTCCGGGTCGCTAAGTGTCCTGGGCTGGGGGGTGCCTTGACACCCAGCCCCATTTAAGGAGCCGGGCGGAAATTGGATTAAAGTGGAGGCGGTTTCAGCAGTTCTGGGCATTAGGCAAGGGCGCCCAGCCCACCGCAAGCTCCTTTGCACCCTAACCCGCTTTGGGCTCCGGAAATAGATGGATTAGCCACAGGGATTTCCCCCGGGGTCACGCAGAGGTCGAGGAAGCAGTTACCTCAGGAGGAACCTGGTGACAAGTGAGAGTTGGGGTCCCTGTCCCCACAACCCCAGAGCCCATCCCTCTCACCTTGGCCACACCTCCGGCTGTGTTTTTCGGCCTGTGCTCAGGGCTCACTCCTGGTGGGCTCGGGGACATATGGGGTGCTGGGAATCGAACCCGGATCATCTGCATACAAGGCAAACGCCCTCCCTGTTGTGCTATGGCTCCGGTAGGCCCCTGCCTGCACTTTGTGCCTGTGACAAACCTCTCCCCCCCCCAGCGTGCCCTGAGCAGACCCCACTCAGGAGGCATCGCTTGGGGGGCTCCCCAGCCTGAGGGCAGAGACCCCCGGGTGCGTGGCTGCTACAGTCCTAGCCACATGGATGGATGCAGTGGCCACTGCACAGTGACTGACACAGTGAACACGGGAGACTTGAACTGACATCTGGGAACGAAGCAAGTGTCAGTGGGAAGCTACAGGGACTTTGTGGGGGCAGGGGCAGGGTCCCACTGGCCTCACTGGCCCTGGAGTTCTGGCCATGCTGGCTCCCTCTGACCCACTCCTCAGCGCCCCCACTCCCGCCCTTCAGACCTGCCCCAGGGCCTTTGCACCCTCTTCTCACAGCCCCCCACATGCTGACCCACTGGGTGCCCTGTCAGTCCTGCACCCACGGAACACAGCCCCCCCACCCTATCCCCATGTCTCTCACCCGTTGCCTACCCCAGGTCAGGTGGACTTCCTCTGCCCCCAGGGGCCCACCACGGGCGGGGCTGGCCTGTCTCAGCAGCTAGGACAGAGACTCCAGCTGACGGCTAATGCAGCGGGCATGTGGCTGCCAACCTCTAAGGGGCAAAGCCGCTCCGAGGCGGGAGGCAGAGAGCAAATGGTGGACAAAGGAATGAGACGCGGGTGGACACTGTCTGGACGTTCTCCGGGTGTTTGGGGCCTTTTCGCTCTTGGGAAGTGTCGCAGCCTTTGTGCTCTGAGCTGCCTCGAGCGGGCACCTGGGGCCAGGTCCCGGGCATAGGAGATGCTGACACCCCGGAGACCATTCATTGAAGGTCTCCCCTCCTCACCCCTAGGTGTCCCCCTGGAAGCTGCCCAGAGCTGACCCTCACCCGTGCTCAGCCCCCGCAGCCGCACAGCGCCCCCTGCTGGCCTCAGGAGAGATGCCAGAGAACCTAGGCCGGCATTGGGAGCGAGACTCTGCCCAGGCACCCAAGTGCTTAGAGGCAGGTGACGTGCAGCGAGCTAACTGCGCTGTCCACCAGTGACTGTAACCCCTGCTCTGGGGTGAGCTGTCCCTTATTTTGGACCAAGGGGCGAGCGAGGCACCACGAGCTCTGTGGGTGCACTGCTCAGTTAGGCGGACGCCTGGACATCCAGGCCGTGACCCTGGAGGCAGAGGTTACGGGACTGACCTGCCAAGACCGGTTCCTGGATGGTTGGTGATAACACGCATGTCTGGAGCCCACGCATGGACATTCACACACGTTTGTGTGTGCTGGCTCCGCAGTTGTCCCACGTGCAAGGCCTGCCTGGCCCTGAGTGGCTCCCAGAAGCCTGGCGGGTGCAAACGTGGTTTCTGCTGAACTTGACATTTTTTTTTCTTGTCTGCAGTGAAATGTTCTCTCCCTCCCTCAGTGGGGACATGAAAAAAACAAGTTATCCAATTAAAACAGGGACATTCTCTCATAAATAAAAAACTACAGGCCGGACAGACACCTACAGGCTGGACAGACACCGATGGGCCAGAACGAAACCTACAGGCGGGCACCTTGAGGTCAGTCTTTGCATTTTCACAGCCTGAGAAACCCATTCCTTCGGCATATGGTGTTTTGTTTTGGCAGAGTGAGCTGAAAATGACTAGCTAGTGCGATTGGAAAAAGAAAGACGGGGGTGGGGGAGTGGTTATCAACCCAGCACCAAGAGCATCCTTTAGAAAAAAATCAGAATTAGCTCATTCTAGTAGAACCCTAAAACTAAACCCATGGCACTGAATGCGTCACTTAATTTTCTTTTTCCCCATCTTCATTTTCTTGTATTTGACGTTTCCATCACATCCTGCAATGCTTAGAGGCTAATCCTGGCTCTGTGCTCAGGGATCACTCTGCATGCTCAGGGGACATGTGATACCAAGGATCAGGGTCTTCTGCAAATCAGTACCTTAACTCCTGTATTAATCTCCAGCCCCGAAAAAAATGGTTTCGTCAGATAAATGTTCAATTATTTGAAAGCGGAAAAGGGGATCGAGAAAGACTACAGGCAAGCAGCCAACCTGGATCTGACCCCTGGTATCACATATGGTCATCCTGAACTGCCAGGACCCCTGCTATCACGTATGGCCGAGCAGAGCTGCCAGGGGGGACCCCTGACCACCACTGGCAACCCCTCGGCGATCCCTGAGCACCACTGGGTGTATCCCCCTCACCAGAAACAAAACCAAACCCCCAAATCCAAAATGAAGTAAAATTAGTTGAAGATTCATTTTCTCAGGACCCAGGGATAGCTCAGTGGTACAGCACAGGCCGTGCCACCTCACGTGTGCAGTGGCATCCAACAGGGACTGTCCTGGGACCCCCAGACCACTAGCAGTGGATGATGACCTCTGGCCACTGTAACCCAGTATGTCTGCTGGGCACCACACCGAAAGGAAACAGGAACCCTGAGCTGTCTTTGGACTATTTGTTTCAGGGACCTCAGCCAAGGGGGCTCAGCGCTCACTCCTGGCAGCACTCAGGGAACCAAGGCTTGAACCCAGGCTGGCCATGTGCAATCCCTATACTCGCTCCAGTCCATTGAAACGGTGGGCTGCTGGTTTTGTTACCTTTTTTGTGGCACTGGAAAGCGGACCCAGGGCTCATCCCTACGAGTCCTGTGTTCTCTAAGCCACAGCTCTGGGCCATCCAACGCTGTTGCAGTTACTCCGTGCCAAGCACGCACGGCCATCAGGGCAGCTCCTAGGACTGCTGACTCCCTCACAGAAGAGCTCGCTGATGGGGGTTCCTGGGGTGGACAGCCCTTATGCCCTCTGGCCTGGTTCCTGAGCGCCCTTGGCTCTCCTCACTTTGATGCATTTCCCTGGAGAAAGGAAGCCCCATGCCTGGCTCGACCTGGCCGCTCACTTGGTCAGAGTGTATCTTCAGAAGCCTCCACCCTGCCCGATGGGGACCCACAGGACAAGGGCAACCAGGACCCAAGGCCACAACGCCAGCAGGAGCAGACTATCCTAAAATAAAAGCACAGACCCATGACCCCACACCCGGGGCTGTCCCTGCCCCTGCCCTGATAGTCACCAAGGTGTTTGCAGGCTGCAGGGGGCTGCTGGCCGAGTCGCTCTTGGCCAGTCAAACACATGTCAATAGCCAGATGGAGGAGTCAGGCCCTCTCTCTCCAGCCCGATCTGGTGAACACAGCCCCTCAGAATCAAGCATGTTGGGGCTTTCAGCGCGAGTGAAGCTGACTGGATCCTGCCTCAGACAAATCCAGAGACAAGGCTGAAGCCAACAGATGGGGTGTTGGCACAGAAAGGGGCTCAGCCCACGTGGGTTAACGCATGATGGAGATCGGTTTGGCAACTCCAGACGCTTCGGAGGAAGGCACACTTGGTCACTAACAGTCTCCAGGAGGCAGTTTTGGACGCCGACCTTCTGTCCTGGGGTCGTGTGGGTCATGGTGGTTCCCGTCCACCGCTAGCCTGCAGTCAGTCCCGGGACTGGCCTGTGGGGCTTCTTGGCGCTGTGACCCAGAGGCCCTGTGAGCCCCAGGCTCCCTTTGGTTCTCCAGCCACGGCCATGCACATGTGAGGGCATGTGTCCTGCATGCAGCGTGGGTTTGAGTGTGGGGTCAGAGAACTGCCGCCTCTTCTCGCGTCTAGCTGGGCCCCACGGCGGGCCAGGCTGGTGAAGGTCTGACGAGAGGAAGTGATACAAGGTTCCTCTGCCCTGGCCTCCTTCTGTGGACACGCGCATCAGGACAGGGAAGGCAGAGGCAGGGCCGGGCCCCTGAGGCTGCAGTCTCGGAAGGAAGAACCGGGCGGGCCAGAGGCCCCGACGGAAACCAGCTGTGTGGGCAGAGGCTGGCACCGGGCCTGGGTGGGTCTCCCGCACACGGACCCCCTTCTCTCCCCCGACCACCAGCCCAGGCCTGGAAACCGGGTCCCTCCAAGCTTGTGCCTCTGTCCGCCTCTCTCTCCCAACGAATCCCAAGACAAATCTCAACAAAGCCCCACACACACCACCGCGAGACCTGGAGTTTGTTGGAAAGTATACGACAGATCTGTTTTATTTACAATCAAGTTCAGTTGGGCAACATAATTAAATAAATAAGAGATGCGCCCTGGCCTGTGAATCTCCATCCCCTTCAACTCAGTTCTCTGCGCGTCTCCAGAAGACGCGGGCGGGGACAGGGGGCAGGCGGGCGGCGCCCCTGGTCTGAGGAAAGGCGCAGCGTCTGCCCTCACCCGCGCTGCAGCGCGCGCACAGCCACGGGAGTCCAGAGGACAAGATAAAAACGATAAAGTGCAAATCAAGAAGGGAGACAAGTCCTGGCGTCCCGAGGCGACACGTAAGTGGCAGACAAGGGTTCCGGGCCCAGCACCGAGGGGACGGCCCGGCTCCAACGAGCGACACATTCAGGGCCACAGTCCTTGGCAGGGGCGGGGCAGCTCGGAGCCGGACCAGAGTCCCCAGAGTCCCGGGGCGCGGGGATTTTGGCACTGGCGTCCAGGGAGGGAGCGGGGAGCCGGGCGGCCCCGCTGAGGTACGGAAGACAGAGCCAGTAGTGTATCCGCCGATGGCAGGGGCGCCGCGCGGACGCCCCGCGGCCCCAGAGCGTCAGTAGTCCGACCACAGCACGGCCTTGCTGCCCTTGTCCACGCTGACCACGTGGGCGCCGGAGGGGGCCCAGGCCACGGCGTTGATGGACGAGCTGCAGAGGGGGAGGGACGGGGGGGAGACAGCGCTCAGGGACAGCCCGCGGACGCGGTGGGCTGACAGGCGAGCGGCAGGCGGTGGCCCGGTTACCTGTGGTGCTTGGCGAGAACCTTCTCCACCTTCCCCGAGAGCACGCTCCACACGTACAGGGCGCCCTCGGCCGAGCCTGCCGCCACGTAGCTGCCGTCGGGGCTGAGGGCACAGGGGTGGCGTCAACGCTCCCCGCCTGGACACCCCCTCGCGGCCCCATGCCAGGGCGTCACCCCGTCACTGGTCTCTACGGCCCTATGCCGGCCACACCGCACAGGTGGGGAGCAGGATGCCATGGTGGGGGGAGGGGACAATGCCCGAGGAGCCCCTCCAGCTCAATCACTGCTCAGGGACCCCGTTCCCCTTCGTGTCACCCCAAATGGAGCTGGGAAGGGAGGCGCAGTTCCAACCCTCTGCTCAGCACACTCACTGCGGGGGAGGGGCTTGGGGGGCCGGAAGGGGTGGGGGGGACACAGCGACTCACCTGAACACCACTCGTGTCCAATCTGAGCCGCACTTGAACCCGGGAGCACTGAAACGGGCAAGGAGCCCCATTACCCTGGCGAAAACCCCGCCCCGCGGGGAGCACGGGGCCGGGTCACGGGGCTAGGGGCGCGGGGAGCACTGGGGGCGCAAGGGACAAAGGGCGCGCGGCCACCTGAAGGTCTGGCGCACGGCGTTGACGCGCAGGTCGATGATCTTCAGCAGGTCGTCCCGGGAACAGCTGAGCAGCTCCGTCCGCTCGGGGTTCAGGTCCAGGGCCGTGACCCTTCCCAGCAGCTCCATCTCCCGGACGATACTCTCCGACCTGGGGGGCGGGGGGAAGGGGCCGTACTGCCACCTGACGGACCGGCTTCCTGGCACGCCCCCTGCCCTCTCACCCCCTCCCCCGGGTGGGGGCTGCAGGACCCTCCAGGAGCGAGGGCTGGCACGGAGAAGGCACACACCGAGGGCGCAGATACGGCCCCCAAACTAAACACTCTGCAAGCCTGCTGGGCCGCGTGTGCCTGGAGCCCAGACCACCCGCTCTGCGCCTCCTGTCTCCTGCTCCCCCCCTCCCCCGGCCAACGCTCTCATCACCACCACCACCCCCCCACTGCTCTCCCTCCTGCCCCTCCGACCCGCGCCAACTCTCATCTCCGGCCCTCCAACATCACACAGAGCCGACTGAAATGTGACCCCAGCTCACCCTGGACACTGCCTGGCACACGGCCAACGGGGGTTCAATCCCCGGCACCCCACATGGTCCTCGAGCCCCACCGGGAGTAACTCCCGAGTGCAGATCCAGGAGTAAGCCCTGAGCCTCATCAGGTGGGGCGCCCCCACCCCCAAAGATCGGCTTGTCAGGATGAACGGCCAGGCCCTCCTCCAGAGATCTGAATGATGTGGCCACACGCCCCCCCCCACCCTCACGGTACCCCGTGTGTCCTGACCGGTGCCGGTCTCCCGCCAGGAACCTCGGGTTCCACACACACCTGATGTCCCAGAAACGGATCTTCTTGTCGAAATGCCCACTCATGACGCACTGCTCGGTGCACACAATGTCGTTGCAGCTGGAGCCGGCAAACACCGTCTTGATGCCTGAGGGAAGGAGCCTCGAGTGAGGCCACGGGCAGAGGCCCCTTGGCCCTGCCTGGCCAGCACCCCCGCCCCCACCGGGAACCGAACCCTGCCGCCGGGCACAGCTCCAAAGAGCAGCCGCGCCCCTCCCTCCCGGCCGCGTCCCGAGGGCTGAGACACTGAATTTCCTCACAGACTTTGCTGCGGAGGTCCCAGAGCTTGAGGGTGCGGTCGTGGCTTCCGGACACGATGCGCGCGTTGTCCAGCAGGAACTTGGCCGAGAGCACTTTGCCGCTGTGCCCGGTGAGCGTGTGCTGGGGGAGAGGGCCCGGGTGAGCGGCGGCTGCCACAGTGGCCGCCCTGGGTGTGGCCCAGCGTGAGGGCATCGGGAAGAGGCCGGGGCGGCCCCCCCAAAGGACAGGATGCGGCACCGCGAGCCCAGACCTCTGGCGCCACCTTTGAAATGGGCTCTGCGTGGGCTGTCGGTCTGGGTCTGCCCAGGGAAGCCCTGGGTCCACCCTGCCTCCGGCCAGTCCGATGCCCCATTTTCAGCAGAGGAGACAGTGGGGGGGTCACAGCAGGAGCCCCGGGATTCTGGACACCAACAGCAAGAGCTCCTGGGGTCTCCACAGCCCCTCCCACACCGACACACCTGCCAAGGAACCAGGACAGCCGCCCCCCCCCAGACCCACAGCACTGCAGGGCCCAGAGGCGGGAGGGACACAGGGAGGGGAGCTGGGGACCGGGCAAGCTGCTCGATCACGCCTGCTGTCACCCAAGACAGGGAGCCCGCAGCAGAGCCACTGCCTCCCCAAGGACTCGGCCATGGTCACCTGTCCCCTGGCCTCCAAGAGAAATTCACCCATTTAGGCCACGCGGATTCCTTGTCGCTGCCAGCAGGGGTGGGGGGCTCAGGGACGCTCGTGCCCCCAGCTCTGCCCGCAGGTATTAAAACGCGGGAGCACAGCAAGGAGGGGTCTGCCTTGCACACGGCCGATGCGGGTTCCATCCCCAGCATCCCACGTGGTGCTCCGAGCCCACCAGGAGTGGTCCGAGCACAGAGCCAGGGGTAAGCCCCGAGCACCACCTAGTGGGACCCAAAAACTTTGAAAACACTCATGTACTTCTCTGGCTGTGACCAGAGCACAGAGTCTGGTCCCCCAGCAGCTCACAGGTGACACACACAGCTGGGATTAAGATACAGATTAGCGCCTAACACGCATCCCTGTCAGCTCCACCAAGGAAACAGCCTCGGCAGGAAGTGCACCCCTTGTTTCTCAAGATCCTTCGAGCACTTTCCCTGCTTCACCAGTCACACTGGGCCCTGCTGCAGGAGCAGGCTGGCAGTGGCGCACCCTCCCTAGGGCTCATCTCTCAGAATGTCACCTGCGTTGTGGGGCCAGCCACCAGGGGCGCCTCAACCGACCATGCTATCGTGGGGGCCAGAGAGGACAGGGGTGCGGGCACATGGGGGAGGCGGACCCCATTGGATTCCAGGCACCACGGGCCTGACCCTAGAGGCCTCTGAGCACTGTTGGGGTGTTCCGGGGATCCCTGGCACCACAGGACCACCCACAACAACCCCCTCGGGCCTGGCACTGAGACAGCACAAGCAAACGGCCTGGCTCAGGAGGTACCGCGCGGGCTCACCCGTAGCCGATAGTCATCCACAGTCCAGATCCGGCTCGCGAAGTCGTTGGAAGCGGCTAAGAGGTACGAGCCCTGGGGACACGGAGGGAGACACAGCGTCAGGCGGAGGTCGACTTTAGGGACAAAGCACGACTCCCCGGCCGGAGGTGGTTTCGGGGACAGGGTCCACAGACTGTGGTGTGTCCGATCTGTCTCCCGGACAGAGTGGGACTAGCCCAAACGAGTCTGCGGGAGTGTCCCCGATCATCTGGGGGAGCCCCCAAGTAAGTTCCGGTGCCTTCTAGGGCATGCCGGACACGATACCATCAGGAACATGCCATTGACCCCACCCCAAAACCCATCCCTCAGGCCCCCCCCAAAAACCCGGCTCCTGAAAACACCTGTCACCCCCCCCCCCCCGCAGTGGCCCAGCCCCCACAGCCTCTCTCGTGCACAGGGACCCTGGAATTTTGGGTCCCGCCTCCCCACTGTCTTCCACACACACAGCCGGAACCTCAGACGGTTCCATAGGTACCTGTCTCCTTGGACACCATCAAGTCACCCACTGATTGTCCCCACGCCCCCTGTAGCCAAGAACTGGCCCAGGGTTAGAGCGAGAGTCCAGCACAGAGGACGCCCACCCTGTGCACAACCAAAAAGTCTCGATCCCCCACGAACACAGTCTCCCAGTCCCTGCTATGAGTGATCCCTGAGCACAGAGCCAGGAATAAGTCCTGAGCACAGCCCAGTGAGTCTCAAACCTCCAACAAAACCTCGAAGAACTTCTGCCGCAGGCCGGTTCTCGCCTTCAAGCCCACCTTCCCTCGAGCACATCGCATCCTGCTCCACGCTGCCTGGGTCTTCGCTGGCCTAGTTCTACCCCGGGGAAGCCCGTGCTGACCCTCGCACACTCTTCCTTTCTCCTCTGACATCGTCCTGAGCAAGTTTCATTCAGTATAACCTACCCTGCTTCGCTAAACAAACGACCCCCTCCCCCACATTTCTGCCAGTGGTTGGAGATCAAGCAGTGATGGGAGATACTGCTGGGCCTGCAACCAAGCCCAGGCCTCTCCCTTGCACCCCACCAGGGCCCCGAGTCCCATCAGGAGTGATCGATACCTGCGCGCAGAGCTAAGAGAGAACTCCTCCGGGTCTGGCCCCCAAGGGCCCGCCCAGACTCTCGGCCATCCTTCCCGGGCACTTTCCCCGCCCCTCACCTAGCTGTCCACTCTCCCTCTCCCTATGGCCATCATAATCTCAGCACTACAGCGGACAGTGAATGTTTCTGAGTCACCCATTGAAAAGCAGATCTACGAGGATCAGGACACGGGCGTGCACACATTCCACACACGGTTCCCCAACAAAGCCCAACGGCCCCCCCACGAGTCTGATGCGGTCACCCAAACCCAGGGTTTCCCAATGGACAGGCCAGTTGACCCGAGCGCCCCCCATATCCTCCCTGCACTCGATCACACCTAGAATAGGGGCCCGGGAGGCGGGGAAGTGACCTCCAGCCTCAGGGCGCGGGTGTCCCCGGAAGGGCCCCGTGGCCGTTCCCATGAGGGCGGATACTCACGGCACTGTCGAACTCGATGCTGGTGATGCCCGCGTTGCTGCCGGAGAGGGAGCCCTTCAATTCGCACTTCTCTGGAGAAACAGAGCGAGGGCGGACAGCTTAGTTGAGGCCCCCAAACCACCACTGTCGGGGGGCGGGGAGGAAAGGGCAGGGCTCCGTAAGGGGGACAGTCACCACAGATCCACACGGACGGAGAAGCGAGCTAACCTGCGACCCCCTAGAGGAGACCAAGAGTCTATGGGAAAAGAAAGATTTGAGGAGCTGGAGCAATAGCACAGCGGGTAGGGCGTTTGCCTTGCACGCAGCCGACCCGGGTTCGATTCCCAGCATCCCATGTGGTCCCCCGAGCACCGCCAGGAGTAATTCCTGAGTGCAGAGCCAGGAGGAACCCCTGAGCATTGCCAGGCGTGACCCAAAAAGAAAAAAATAAAAATAAAGAAGAAAGACTTGACAAGCAAAGACGCCAGGGACAGAGCAGCACTTCTGGTGGGCACTGCTACACCGCTCTCGCCAGGAAATGCAGTGCTGCGGCTAAGTACATGCTCTCAGGGCCAGAGCTGCCAGTGTGGCCCCTGCACTACTGGGCGCGGCCCCAGCCAACCACGTGAGTCTGTTTGCTTTAGTCACTTCTCACGGCTGTTTCTGCGCAGCCAGTGTGGTGCTCCTGGGATCTGTCCTCACGCTTCCTTTGACTCTGGGATGCTAAATAATGCCCGCCCCTGGGCCAGCAGGGCGAGGGGCAGTGGCCTGAGGCTCTGACTTGGGACGGCTCTGGCCACTCGCTTTAGGGACAGGGGCAGAAACTTGGGACGACTGAACTGCCCCAATGGAGGATGTGACCTCCAGATCACAAGAAAGGACAGTTTAAGGACGCTTTATAAAGATGAGCTGAAACAAGGAGGGGAACCGTCCAAAACGGGACTCACAAAGGGGGAGCGCAGATTTGGAAACCATCAATGACAGACCTCCCGATTCAGCACTTCGAAGCAGTAAGAAGAAGAGTGGGTTCAGGGCTAGGACATTTTTGTGCCCCGATTATTATTCTCTGGAGTGGGAGCGGCACACCCAGCAGTGCTCTGGGCTACTCTGAGCTGTATTGTGTTCGGGGCTGCTTCTGTCAGGGCTCAGGGGAACCCTGTGGGACCGGGGATGGAGCCGGCACCAGCTCCAGGCGAGGCGAGCACCTTAACCCCCCTGCCACCTGCAGGTCAGTAATTATTAACCAGGGCAAGGACAATGAACACTCCCCCCCCCCCCCCCCCCCCCCCCGTATTTAGAACACATAGGAGTCAAAAAGCCAACCCACACCTTCTTTAGTGCACAGTTTTTTGCATTTTGGGTCACACCCAGTGATGCACAGGGGTTTCTCCTGGCGATGCTCGGGAGACCACATGGGATGCTGGGAATCGAACCCAGGTCAGCCTTGTGCATGGCAAATGCCCTCCCTGCTGTGCTATCACTCCAGCCTCAGAGCACTTTTATACACCAGACTGTCAGCGCAAATTCTAAGAATCCTCTCTGGCTGATGCCCGAGGCAGCAGTCTATGTGGGGCACTTGCCACGGTGCCAGTGTGTAAGAAATGATCAAAAAAAGAAAAACAAAACAAAACAAAAAAAAAGAAACGATCAATCGATACTACTCTACACAGGAGACCCATTTCAAAGGACCAAAGGCCTTTCAGTGTCCTTTTTTCTAGAAGTAGCAGGGGAGGCTATGTCCAGAGCATCTATAAAATTAGCTCTGACTTTTCGGGGCCCGAGAAATAGTACAGTGTGTCGGGTGCTTGTCTCGCTTGGTTCGATCCTGACATCCCGTATGGTCCCCTGAGCACCAACAGGAGCAATTCCTGAGCGCAGAGCCAGGAGCAACCCCTGAGCATGGCCGGGCGTGAGCCAACACTAAACAACAACAACAACAAAATAGCTCCGGCCTTCAACAAGCAAAAACAGACATTTCTACTGAATAGAAAGGATCATTCTTTTGAAATTTTAAAGCAGTAAAAAACAGGCCCCATATTAATACTTCGTGAACAGTCTCCTAGGCTAGGCGTCCTCAAAGATGCACTAGCCAAAGGGGAAGGAACTGCAGTGCATTCCAGTTAGGCTATGGCTATTTGAAGAGCCAAACATTCAACTTGCTTTTGCAGACTGCAGAAACTACCCAATACAGATTGCGTCAATAAGGCATGTCCTCTCCGGCAGTGAAAAGATACCACTGAATAAAATTTGCTTTTAAAAGTAAATTTTAAAAAGCACCTTTGCTTTTCTTATAGATGTCTTATAGATCTCTCCTGAGCTAGGAGAGAAACAGGCTACCTGTACACTTAACCACGCCTCGAGTGTCAAAACTGGCCTGTGGGCTACAGCAATAGTGGGTTTTTCCTTGCATGCGGCTGACTCAGGATCGGCCCTTGAGCACCGAGCCAGGAAGAACTCCTGAGCACTGCTGGGTGTGCCCCCAAACCAGAGGAAGAGAAAAATTATAGACCTGAGCCGGTGCCACTCTCAAATTCTAAAAGATACTTTCATTTCCTCTGATTTCCTGTAATTTTTCAATTGCGGGAGGAGGGTGTGTGTGCGTGGGGGGGGGGGGAGGTTGGGTGAGAGCTGGGGCCACACCCAGCAGCCCCAGGGGCTGACCCAGGATCCGGTGCAGCTCTGGGGAGGGAACCTGCGTCATCAGTGAGCATCAGTGAGCGCAAACCTTAATCCGGATACTTCCTCTCCTCTATTTTACTACTCAAGGTCATTTCTGACATAAGACGAGAGAAACCAAGTCTTGTTTGATTTTTCCTCTGGCATAATTATGACGACAGCTCCCAGTCATGCCCAGGGCACCAAACATATGGGGGGGGGGGGCGCCCACATGTAAAGGCCGCTCCAGCCCTCTGCCCTCCTCCTGCCCCGGGCCTGGGCCCAAGTCTTGATGTGAGCGCCCTGCCAGACAGGTCCCACTTTTTCAGACTACATCCTGGACATCACCGCATTCACGCCTTTCCTAGGCCACTGGCATTGTGGAATGCCTCGACCACGGTTCTATGCAGAGTTCCCCAGAGCCTCGAGTCGCAAAGTCTTTAGTGCTATTTCTAAATTCTTTTTTTTTGCTTTTTTGGGTCACACCTAGCAATGCATAGGGGTTCCTCCTGGCTCTGCACTCAGGAATGACTCCTGGCGGTGCTCGGGGGACCATATGGGACGCTGGGAATCGAACCCGGGTCAGACACGTGCAAGGCAAACGCCCTCCCCGCTGTGCTATCGCTCCAGCCCCACTCTTCAGTGTTTGAGGCAACACAAACACCTTGATGCCACGGTGCGATTCTCACAGCCACTGCCCAGATGTGAGAGCGAAGAGCGCCGGGGGGCTCTCAGGGGCAAGTCTCAACACAGCACGCTGCTTGGACAAGGGGAACCGGAAGCAAGCTCGCTCCACTCCGCAAGTCTCACCTCCGATCACCTCCCAGAGCTTCACCCTGCGGTCCATGCCCCCGGTGGCCAGGAGCCGGGACCCCGGGCTGAACTGCACTGCGTTGACCTCGCCGTCGTGAGCATCCTGCAAGGCAAGCACCTGCTCTGAGTCCCGGTGGCCTGTGTGATGGCCTCCTTGGGGGGGGCGGGGGGGGGGGGGGGGAAGGGGGGCGCTAGCCTTGCTCCCAGCTAGTTTCAATCCCACAGCGAGGCTCCTTTTTCCTTTATTTGGTTCTTGGGTCACACTCAACAGTGCTCAGGGCTTATTCCGCGCTCAGGGACTACACTGAGACTGGCTGTGCGCAGTTCTTTTTTCACTCAAATACACTGCTGTCATCTTCCAAACATTCAAATTCTGTGTGTATGCATCGCCTCAAGTTCATCTTTGCCTTAATTCATCCCCTCCGCCCCACTACTGCATTCCAACTCCACTTTATTTCTCCCAGCTCAGCTCGTCCGTGATCTCAAGTACTTAAAATCAAGCCCTGTGAACTCCCTCTCCAGGTTGGGGTGAATCTGAGTGACGTCAGGCGCAGTTTCTCCCAACCAGGGGGTTTTCCTGGCTTTCCGCAGTCTCCCACGCTGCCTGTGTAGGAATGCGTTGGACCAGGGCTCAAGGCAGTTCCTTCTGTAAGCGTGATGAGCTAATGGATACTGGCAGGTGGCCTCTGCCAAAAGTCTGAATTTCTGAAAACGTCAGTTAGCTTATCTAGGAAGAAAGGCTTCCGGGGCCTGACACGGCCTGGCGGCAGAGTGCATGCCTCGTAGCTGTGAGCCCTAGGACTGTGAGCATGGCCAGCCCTTCGGTGTAAGTGGCAAGTGTCGCCTGGGGAGAGTCCTTCACAAGGTCAGCCCTAAGCCCAGCCTCCACAGACACACAGGACCTGAAAGGACACCGCTCGACGTCAGGAGAGACACAGCATCTCGCCTGAGAGCAGAAGTGGGAATGCAGGCTATTTGTTCTCTGCAAAGTCTGGGACTTTTATGTTTGGGGTTTGCTTTCGATGGCACCAGTATTTGTTCTGTTTTGTTTGAGGGGGGGTGGGGGGGGGTCAAGGGCGACGTGGTCAACTGAAGCAGCTGGGCCACCAGACCTGGGTATTCTCTACCTGTGCTGTTTGAACTTTAAGAGACAACAAAGTGTGTGTGTGTGTGTGTGTGTGTGTGTGTGTGTGTGTGTGTGTGTGTGTGTGTGTGTTGCTTAGAAGCCGGCCTCACATGCTGGGGGGGAAAAGGCAGCTGAGAGGGACCACCAAGTGTAAATGCGTGCTGAAAGTTATGGACCGAACATGATGGCCACTTACTACCTGTATAACCCACCCACAAGGAAAGAGAGAGTCAAAGGGAATGTGCCTCCCACAGAGGCCAGGGGGAGGGGGGGGATGGGGTGGGGGTGGCAGGAGGGATACTGGGAACACTGGTGGTAGAGAATGGGCAGTGGTGGAGGGACGGGTACTCGATCATTGTATGACTGAAAGGTAAGCACGAACGTGTGTAAGTCTGTAACTGTACCTCACGGTGATTCATTAAAAATTAATAATAATAAAAAAAAGTGTGTGTAGGGCCAACTGTGGAAAACCTGTACCACCAGCGGCCGTCTGCAAGGCGACTTCCGGGAAGACAGGCTGTGAGGTTGGTTGGCAGGAAGCGCCACCATGGCCCCCAGGCCCTGGCCAGTGGGCAGCCGGCCCTCCGCCTCTGGCCAGTCCCTCCCTCTTCCCAGGCCGCGGGGCTCGGAGGCTCAGATTGAAAACTTGAGATCAGGCACCGTCACGACGGCTGCGCTCACTGGGCTCCTGGTCACTGCTGGACGTTGTCCAGGCTGTTGGACATGGCCGGCTGGGCCCCGGGCACTCGCAGGAGCGCGCACCGACAGAGTCCCCTGCTGTCAGCTCCCCGACTGCCCCTCACGCACGACTTGGATGCGCGGGGAGAGCACGGGCAGCTGGGAGCCGAGGGCAGCGCGCCGTGACCGGGTGCGATCAGACCTTTTACCAATCATCATCGACCTCCGTGAGCGGCCCGGGCCCTTGGGAATCACGGGGCGGGGGGCACGGACGCGAGGGGCCTTCACGGGTCACGGCCCACGGGCACAGCGGGCCTGAGCCTCGCCCTCCACCCTCCACGCCTCCCCTCCTCTGCCGCCGCACCCCCTCCTCCCCACCCGACCGCGGGGGCCAAGTGCTCCCCGGCGCAATCCCTGCTCCCTTCCCCCACCGGGGGCCTCGGCGCCCCCAAGGTACAGGGACCCGGTGCTGAACTCAGCCCAGTCCTGTCTCACGGGCCCCACGGTCAGAGGTCACGCAGCAGCAGGTGGAGTTCGCCAGGTCAAAGGTCGCCCCGCCGTCCTCCCCAAACAGACTCTGCTCCGCCACCGCCCAGGGGAGCCGCGGGGCGCAGACGGGGCGAGAAAGGAGCCCCTGGACGTCGGGCGGTCCCCGGCGGTACTTACGAAGACACACACCGCGGTGGTCGGCACCCTCACTTCTTTCCCGGAGCCAGGGGGAGGCTCCACGCTGTCCTGGGGGGCGGGGAGGGAAGAGACGGAGCGCCTCCTGGAGAGCAACGAGAGAGGGGGTCAGCGCCCAGGACGCCCGAAGGCCTCGGGCGACCGTGGCCCCGCGCGGCTTGCAGACCCTGCCAGCGGAAGCTGCGCCTCGGACGGAGGCAGCTGGAGGGAGGGAGAGCCCGTCCCTGCCCGCTCCCGCGCGCGCCTTGGTAAGACCCCGGCACGGCAGCTGCCCCCGGCCGGCCAGAGAGCGGCCAGGCGCTGCCTCACACCGAGGCCCTCGGGACGCGGGGGCACCCTTAGTAAAACTAGTCTGGGGTGCTTTCTGGGCTCTGTTCTAGTCCTCCTCAGCGAGGCGCGCAGTCCGGGCAGAGTGGAACAGAGGCCAAGAGCGAGGAGGGCGTGGTTACGTGATCAGGCACACGGCCGCCGACGCATTCCTAGGAACATGCAAAGCGTCCTGGTTAGCGGGGGAGCGGGGCGCCGGGCGTTAATCGAGGACCCCGGTGGCATGCTGGGCCGAGAGAGGAGGTTCACCTGGCAGCACCGGAAGAAGAATCATGTCCCGAAAGGGGAGACTCGGACAGACTAAAGGGGGAGGCCAGAGACCAGCAGGCAGCGACACGGAGAGAGGAAGGTGAGGGAGAAAGAGGCTGAATGAAAAGCTGAAACCCAGGCGTCCGTATACTCTGCATCCGGGAAAGGCCGGGGAACATTTACACAACGGGGATCAATCACGACCACGGTCTCGGTTCATTGGCACACGTATGAACAAGGAAAGGCGCGTGTCTAACCTACCCAAAGATATTAGTGATAGAGTCCAGAAGGCCTCCAGCGGGCTGCGAGAGTCGCTTACTAGAGGGGGGAGGACAGGTTCAGACCTTAGAGACATTTCGCCCAAACAGCCCATACAACAGTCCACAAAAAGGTACCAGTGGGTGCGCACTGCCCCCAGAGTCCCCAAGCCCCTGCCCAGAAACCCGCTGGCCCACAGTCCGAAAAACAGGGGGGAGGCAGGAGCGAGACCCCGGCCGCCCCGTGTCCAGAGACCAGGCACCCGAGCAGGACAGCCGTCTCCTACTCCTTCCACTCGCGGTTCCTGCTCGCCTGAGAAAATTTTATGCGGCCGTGGACATGCAGGGACATAACTCTACATCTGGGGGCAAACGGATCATTCACAGATAATGAGCCGTTTCCACAGCAATTCCTCAGGATCTCCCCCTCACTGGGTGCCTGTTTAGGAAGCCAGGCCTCCGACCACGGAAGGTGTCCCCGGGGCAGTGACCCGCCCGCGCCCACCTTCTCAGTCGTGCCCCCGCGAACCAGCCAAGCCCTCCTGCCCACGTCGCAATCACCCAGCGGACAGAGGAAGCCACTAGGCGCTTCCTGCTCCCACCACCCAGGCAAGCTGCGACGGTGGAGGCCACGCAGGAGCCCTCATCCCTGCGGGTGCCGGAGGGGCTGGCGGGGCCCGGGTGGGTGGCACTGTCGCGGCCACAAGTGGCCCAAGCACCCCCTCCCCAGCCCAGCCCGCTGACTCACGTGGCCGTTCTGTTGATGGCGCGCACGGGCGACGTGTCCTCGGCGTGGTCGGAGGTCTCGTCCACGATGACCTCGATGTCATCATCCCTGGGAAGGAAGCCGAGAGGCCGAGCCTTGACTCTAGGCCGAGGCGCGGGCAGCGTTGTCGGCTCCACGCCTAACCCAGCGCGCTCACCGAGGCGGGAACGGGCTGGACTCTGGGGGAGCATAAGGGACTGCCGGGCTCTGGGCAACGACGTGGCAGAGGGGACCCAGCGCCCGCCAACCCTGAGGCCACCAGAACTCAACTTCCAGAGCAAGCTTCCCACCGCCACGCGGGGTGACCCCAGAGCAGAGCCTGGGGCCCCCAAGCAACCATCTCTGAAGGCCAGAAGCTGGCCTCGTGGTGGCGAGCGTGGCGTGGGGTAGCCGATGGTGGCTCCAGAGTGAAACTCGCAGCGACAGGCCAGTGGCACCGCTAGAAAAAATTTAAGAAGGAACGGACTCATCCTTCAGTGTTCTTCTTCTGTTCACTCACTTTTTTTTGGGGGGGGGGGGGCAGCGTGGAGGGTGGCACGACCTAGAATGGCACTCAGGGGGTCACAGCGAGCCCGACCCACTCCCGGAGCCCTCTCCCCGCCTCCACTCTCTTCCGACATTTCCCACTCGCTGTGCAGTGAAAAGACCGCTTCTCTGGGTCCGCAACCTGGAACCAAGTACCACTATTCTTCGGCCAGCGTGGCCACACACAGGGGTCCCCAGACAGCCCCCATCCCCGGGACAGGCAGTGTAGGAACAGAGGCAGGTGACAACGGGCACGGACAGCCGGCTTTAGATGCTGCTTCACTAGCACAACCAGGAAAGCACATCGAGGTACAACTAATTTTTTTTTTTTTTTTTGCTTTTTGGGTCACACCCAGAGATGCTCAGGGGTTTCTCCTGGCTCTGCACTCAGGAATCACTCCTGGCGGTGCTCGGGGGACCATGTGGGATGCTGGGAATTGAACCCGGGTCAGCCGCATGCAAGGCAAACGCTCTACCCGCTGTGCTATTGCTCCAGCCCCAGTACAACTAATTTCTGATTCTGGGTCTCTCGTGCTGATGGTCACACACGCGGCGCTTCTGACACCCGGGGCGCCCGGCACATCTCACGGGACAGGCCCTTCTGACGTTTAGCCCGCTGACACAAATTCACCTAGTTCTCCTACGGCCCATTTCTCTGGGTCAAGGGAAGGCAGGGAATTATTTTGGTTTTAACGACCTTATTAAATGACCCCCCTCCAAGAAATAAAATAATAAGGGGGGGGGCTGGAGTGACAGAATAGTGGGGAAGCTGCTTTTTGTTGCAGGTGGCCAATCCGGGTTGGATCCCTGGCACCACATACAGTGGCAAGTCCTCCAGGAGTGATCCCTGAGCACAGAGCCAGAAGTGAGCCATGCGTACAGCTGGGTGTGCCCACCCCCGCCCCCCAATAAAATAAAATAAGGGACCTGAGTGCGGAGCCAGGAAGTAACTCCTGAGCATCACTGGGTGTGAAAAGCAAAAAAAGTTAAAAAAAAAAAAAGCCTCATGAGGGTGAAGGTGCTTGCCCTGGTACAGCTACTCCATTCGGCCCCCTGCACAGAGGCCGCAACCGAGCACCAACACCCCCCTACTCATCATTATTACAAATTCTTAAGTGCAATCGCCCAATATTTGAACCCAAAAGAACTTGAAAAGCATGAGCTTTCCATGGTTGATTATCTGGACCATGCAAACACGGAGAACAACTTGTTACCGAGTTTTCCTTGCGCACTGATTCTAGGATTCTGTGCAAACAGTCTCGGCAAGAAACGGGCTCCAGGGGGCCTGCGAAAGGCCTGGGCTCTTCCTCGGTACCAGCGCGGGGGTCACCAATAGCCAAGTAAGGGCAGTAATGTACATGCTGAGAAGATTTTAGTCACCGCTGTAACTTGCAGAACTGCCAGAGTCCCGGCCAGTTCTAGCAAACTCCAGATTTGGCAACTCATCACCTCCAGGGTGACTGTTCACGCAGGGAAGCCTCAAAAAGGGGAGGAGGCAGGGCCCAGATAGGGCCCAGGAAGCAGGTGTGTGATGAGACCAGAGCAATCTATGCAGGGACGGATGGACACCTGTACCCCACCCTCACTCAGCTGTCGGCCTGGCCCCGTGAGCCTGCATTGCTGAGCAACCGAATCCCACTTCCGGGATGCTGGTTTGGTCTGCAGCTCTAAGAGGACACAGCCAAGCTGCCCCGGCCACATCCGAGCGTGCACGGGGACAGTCTCCGCGGAGGGCAGAGGCCAGGGCTGGGTGGCAGCTCGGCCGCCGAGCACAAGCCCAACGTCGCCAAACAAAGGCTTGCTCTGGGCACCTTGCCTGGCAGCTAACTCCTAACTGAATGCGAATGGCTTCCCTCCACGTCGAAACATCTTCGCTCAGAGACCACACCCTGAGTCAGAGCTAGTACAGGCACTAAGCACCTGCCTTCAAATTTGAGGGCCCCAATTCAGTGCCCAGCAATGCACGATCCCCACTGTCCCCCCAGAGAGCACTGCTGGGAGCAGACCCCACCCCACTCCACCCCCCAAGAGCCAATCTTACAATCTGAGGTACATTGTTAGAACTCTAGAAAGACTTCAGCGGGAAAAAAAATCCCAGAGTACGGGGGAGATTGTCTGCCATAGAGGCAGGGTGAGGGGTGGGCTGGGGGGGTACTGGGGACCTTGGTGGAAGATGTGCACTGGTGGAGGGTTGGGTGATCATTGTGTGTCTGAAACTCAAACAGAAAAGGTTGTAACTATCTCACGGTGATTTAAAAAAATAATAAAAAGAATAATAAAATTAACATTCTGAATAAAAGTAATGTGGAGTTTACGCGCAATACAATCAGCTTAATCAATGGCTCAATAAATAGCAGTACCCCTACATTTTAAGAAAGAAAATAGAGAAGAAAGAAAGAAAGAAAGAAAGAAAGAAAGAAAGACAGACAGACAGACAGACAGACCAGCCCTGAACAAGAGCAAAGGGAAACTGGTTTTACAACAGCTATCGCCCGGGCATGGTCAACCCAGGGTCGATCCCCATTACGGCTCAGGGTTCCCTGCACACCAGGATTCAGAGCTGATTCCTGAACACCTCTGGGGCACACCTCCACCCCCGAAACCGTCACTTTCGTCTCAGCAAAGCTACTCGAGCCCTTCAAATTAACAAAAGCTCCAAACAGATTCAATTCTCTTTGATGCTAGCTTTCACTTTCAGTTCCAGGGTTTGCCCAGAGAAGAAAGCAGGCAGTAAGGGTGAGCGCTCAAAGCCCTGTGGAGCAGGAGTGGGAACCAGAGCGACTTCAAGGAAGATAACGAGTCTTTCTATCAGAACGCGCAGCGTCTGACAGATGGCTCACTTGGACAGACTTTCGCTGAGGCCACTGTTGGATTCTTGGCACCACGTGGTACCCTGAGCCCCGGGCGAAACACCCAAGGCCTGAGGAATCCCTGAACACCCCAAGTGTGGACCCAAACCAACAAAAAGACCTTCACCTTTCTTTCTACAATCTGAGAAGCTCTGTTATAAAAATAACATCTTGGGGCTGGAGAGAGGGGCAGGGAGCGAGCTTGCCTTGCATGCGGCTGCCCCAGGTTCGATTCCTACACGCAGAGCCAGGAGTACGTCCTGAGCACCACTGGGTGCGGTACCCAAACTAAAACAAAACAATTAAAAAAAAAAAAGAACTATTTAAGGGTTGGGAAAATGGTTCAATGGACTGGAATTCAGGCTTTGCCCATACGGGAGTCCCAAGTTGATCCCTACACATCACTGGGCGTTACTCAATCACCGCCACCTCACGAAAAAAGGGGCTAGTCCAGGAGGCAAGGCACTTGTCTCGCACCGTCGGCTGCAGCTCAACCAAGCCCTGGCAACGCAGGGTCCCCCTGGCTCTACCACGGTGTTTCCTGAGCACCGCCAGGAACAGCCCCCGAGCACCACTGGTGTGAGGTCAAAACTTAAGGGGAAAGATAGTCTAATAGGCCAGAGACAGAGCACTGGGGTTAAGCACCCCCAGTCTGACCCCGGGCACCACAAACAGCCCCCCCAAGCACCACCAGGAGTGCGTCCTGAGCAGTCGAGCACCACACCAATCCCTCCGCGCCCCACTGGAAACCAACGCACCCACCTACACTGAGACCCAGTTCACAGGGCAGGTTCTCGGGCGCACGGCCACTTACTGTTCCACCGGCAGCGGTTCCTTGGCGGCTTCGGCGAGCTCCTTCTGCAGCCGGGCTTGCCGTCTCCTGGAGGGGTGGCAGGTTGGGGAGGGACAAGTGAGCACCGCAGGCAGGAACAGCCCACACGCCCTTCCCCTGTGGCACGAGGAAGCCTGCACACAGCCAGGGCTGGGGACAGGACGCGGGCTGCAGCCGAGACTGGTCCCGGGAAAGAAGGTTCTCCAGCTCGCTTCCAGGGGGACCCCCAGAGAGCCCAGGTCCCCCTCACCGGTGGCTTCGCCAGGACTGCGAAGGTCACCAGGTGGCCCCCAGCCCCGAGGCTGCCCAAACAGCACAAGCCCAGCCGTAAGGGGCTCCAGACCAGAACGGAACAAGCCAGAAGACAGCACAGCACAGAGAATGGAACAAACCGCCATCGCTTCATCACCCAGGAAGCAGAACTAGCACTGTGCTCACACCGGCTGTGCTCAGGGTTGACTCCTGGCTCAGGAATCACTCCTGGGGGAGGCTTGGGGGACCCTATGGGGTGCCAGGGATCCAAGCTGGGTCAGCTGCATACAAGGCACGCGCCCACACTATTGGCTCCCTGGCCCCAGAACCAATCCTGCTTGCCTTTCCCTTCAAACTCGTATTCTGCAATCGAATACTCTATTTCCAACGATCAGTTTCTTGTGATCCTTATGTCACTATGCTGAGAAATTAGGGGTAGTGCTGGGGGCCCAAACCAGCTTATGTCCCATGCCCTCATGCCCTCAGCCCTTTCAATGTGCTCTTCAGCTCAGGGTCCCTCCCTGTAACCAGCCGGGGGTGGGGGGGGGTGCGGAGCTACCTGCAGTCACTGGGAACCAGGGCAGGGCGACCCCACAATCAACCGCCGGGAGTCAGCAGGCCACTCCCAGTGTTGTCCCGAGGAGCATGCGGGGCCAGGGTTCAAACTCGGGTCTCAGTCCACATACAGCATGTGCCCCAAGCACTGAAGGACCTCCCCCCCGCCCCTATGCCACTCTCCACATTGACCATACCAGGAGGCCAGGGGGACCATGTGGAGCATCAAAGCGTGGACTGTCTCCTGCAATGTCTCCCCGACCCCAAACACTGATGGGAACCATGGCAATAACCCTAGCACAGTCGTGAGCACTGCCAGGAGGGACCTGCACACAGTGGGGCGAGCCCCAGGCCTCAGGAGTGGCAGCATTGCTTGGCTGGGCAAGTTCTTCCGACCGCCACTATTTCCAAGTCCGGTCGTGGCTGTGCCCCCACCGGCCCAGAGCCAGGCTCCAGACCGCTGGCCATGCCAGCCACCACCCCCCGGGGCCCAGCTCTCCCACCTGGAATCCTTCTCGTTCTCCGCGTTCAGGCGATTGGCCTCCTGGGCTTTCTCGGCCATCCAGCGGGTGACCAGCTCCTGGTTCTCCTCGGAGGTCTTCCTGAGCTTCTCCTCCAGGGCGGTGAAGGTGATCTGCAGGGCGTCGTACTCGTCCTTCAGGGTCTGGTTGGCGCGCTCCAGGTCCTGCAGCTTGCCGCGCAGCTCCAGGCACTCGCTCTCCAGGTCCGAGATGGTCTGCAGACACTCGGCGATTCTGCAAGCACCCCGCAGGCCATCAGCGCCAGGGGCGCTCACCCACCAGACGAGGGACCGGGCCGAGACGCTCGGTCCTTCCTCCTCTGAGCAGCCCTGGCGCAGCACCGTCCTGCATGCTGGCAGGCCCGCGGGCAGGCCGTGAGAACCAAGGCGGCAGACGGTGGGCTGCAGCCATTCAAAGCTGGGAGCCAGAGGCCAAAGGACACTGGTGTGTGGACAGGCCAACCCACCAGACGTGAGTTTCACGGCCAGGCTGAGCCCAGGAAAGGATGTGAAGGGGCAGCTGAAGCCGTGACGTGGCATGGGGGGAGAAGGACACCCGCAAGTCCTGGGCTGGCCACCGGCTCCATCCCTCGCCACCCATCCCGGCCCTGCAGTGACCCTCCAACCCCCAGGCCCAGGCTTGGGAGCTGTGTTACGCCATGTGCAGGCGTGACTGTGAACGATCCTGCTCACAGACCCCCAGGGAGACAGCGGGTCCCACGCGCGGTGGCCGCGGGGAGGCCTGTGAACACCTCGAGGCCTCGCAGGGGTCAAGGTTACTTCCGAGGGGGTGCTGGGAAGCTGGCGGACCGAGGGCCAGCCCGGACCCCAGGCTTCCTCCCACCCCTGCGTGCGGGAACCCAGAGAAACACGGAGCCGCGCCCTGCGCTCGACTCACTTGGCCTCGTTCGCCTGCAACTCCCGGTCCTTCTGCTGCATCAGGTTGTTCAGATCGATCACCAGCTGCGCCAGCTGCGGGCAGGGCAGACACACGCGTCAGGGGGAGACGAAGGCCCCACCTGGACACTGGGTTGTAGAGGGGACTTCGGGTTGGCTGGCAGAGGGGCTGCTGGCGCCTGGGGGCTGCTGTGAGTGCCCAGGCAGAGCAGAGGGCGTCCAGTCAGCATTTCTCGGTCTCTGCACTGTCTTCCCTCTGCGGCCCCCGCATCTGCACAATTTTCTCCAGAGGGCTCCTCAGAAAACCCTGGGAAACACGGTCTAGTGGGGTCCCCCCCTCCCCACTGCCTTTGCACACTCCCCAGCTGATGGAACAATCAAACCAGCGGAAGTGGGAGACGGCTTTTTGGGAAAAACACAGCTAGACTCCGCTTCGTGGCAACGAGCTGCTGGAAGCCACGGCCCCATGCCCAGAAGCCCAGGAAGGAGCGGGCTGTGGTGAGTTCTGTGCGCGCGCGCGCGTGTGTGTGTGTGTGTGTTTGTACGCGCTGTGGGGTCTTTCCACACTGGGAAGTCCGGCCTCCCTTTGGGGTGCTGCTGTTCCCCCCGCCCCCGGGAGGCTGACCCGTTACCTCCCCGCGCTTCTTGTGCAGCTCGGTGAGCTCCTCCTGGTGCTTGATCCGCAGCTGGGCCATTTCCTGCAGCTGACTGTCACTCCGTGCTCCATCGTGTCCAGGACTGGACCCCCGACCAGGCGAGAGACAAAGAGGGAACAGAGGATCAGACCCCAACTCTCTCTGGCTCCGACGGCGGGGCGGGAACTACAGAATTTCACACAGGGCCGTGGCAACGAGCCCTGTGTGCAACTTAAGATCTGTCTGGCCACGGGGTGAGGGCGGACACTGCAAACCAGCAGCAGAGAGCAGAGCCCCGGGATACGTGAAGAACGAGGTCCCCCCAACCCATGGCAGTGGAGCGCCCACTCCGCACTGGCACTGGCCTTCGGGGGGTGGGGAGGGGCCGAGGAGCCCCAAGCTCTGTGCTCAGGCAGCCGCAAGCAGCACCGGTGGCTCATAAAGTCAGGAGCACTGAGCTGGGAGCCACATGGGGGCTTGGAGGGAGGGAGGGGTTCGGCATGCGGACCCAGGCACAGGGAGAGATCAAGGGGTACACAGGGAGTGCAGGGTACAGCGGGATAAGGGGAGGGCCGGCAGGAGCTGGGAAGTAGTGCGGCACCTCGGAAGTCCGGGGCTTCTAGCCATGACTGGGAGGGATGGGGAACACTCTGGCTGCTGGGCAGAGACCAGTCAGCAGGACGCTGTTGGCATGGCTTTGACCGCGGGGAACAGCGGGGCGGGGCATGGTGACACTTCCTACACCCCCTTGGAGACAGCACAGCCTCCCATGCAGAAAAGGGGGTGTCGGTGCGTTCCGAGCTAGGTGCGGGGCAACTGAGGGCTGGCTCGGGGAAGGACGACAGGAGCCACGCCACCTCCTGGGCCAGCTGCTGGCGGACTGTCTCTGCCACGTGTGTGGGGTCACAGCTGGGGGTTAGGGTTCAGAGGGTCCTTGCAGATGTGCACGAAGAGGATCATCAGAGCGAGCACTGGAAGCCACTTCCCCGGGAAAGCACAGAGCTCAGGGTGGGGCTCGGGCGGCCAGGTGGGGATGGCCAAGGTCCAGCCCAGCTCCAAGCTCTGCTGGGCGTGGCCCGATCAAAGACAAGGCTGGGGGGGTGGGTGGGGAGAAGAGTGGAGAACTAGGACACCAGTCTCTGAAGGAGGGGTGCCCCTCCCGCCGTAATTATGAGCAAGAAGACAGGGCACGGCAGCCACTGGCCCCCAGAATGGTTCCAGTCCGGAATTACTGTGATTACATGTTCAAAGCTCGAACTAACACCTCATCTTCCCCGGCAACCTGCAGTTACCCTAATCTCGGGCTACAAAGGAGAAGTCAAGCTGCGTGAGGGAGAAGCATGGAGCCGAATGGAGAAGCGGCCCCTTCTTCCAGGGAGCTGCCCTGGCCGAGAAGCCTCACGACCCGAGCATGCCCGCCACTCCCTGCCCTGCCGGCGCCTCGGGACCTTCCCGCTGCGAGAATCGGGTCCCTCTGCTGACACCAGGCGGACAAGGGCTGCGGCTGGTGCAGAGCTGAGTGTCCCGGGCTCAAAGCACGAGTGTCCGCAGCGTCAGAGATGGGCGACCGTTGGGACTGGAGCGTTAGTACAGCAGGCAGGGCGGTTGCCTCGCACATGGCCGACCCGAGCGCAATTCCCAGCATCCCATATGGTCCCCTGAGCAACGCCAGGAGCGATTCCTGAGTGCATGAGGCAGGAGTAAGCCCTGTGCATCACCAGGTGTGACCCAAAAGGGGAAAAAAAAAAAAAGATGGACAACCGCTGACCTAGTATGTCTCGAGCAGGGGAGAACCTCCAGGACTTACTCCTGGCTCTGTGTTCGGAGGATCAGAGATAGTGCTGGGGCCAAGCGCCAGGCAAGTGCACCTTAACCTCTGTGCCACCTCCCAATTTCCTGGGCCCCACCCCAACTCTGGAATAGGTCTGGGTGACCCAAGGCGATGACTCCTCACATTCCCCCAGTGGGGAGGGTCAGAAAGGAAGGGAGCGACCCCTGCTCAAATTTCCCTTTTGTCGTGGGGATGGGGGTCATTCCTGGCCGGGGTCATTCCTGGCCAGGGTCATCAGCCACTTAAGCCACATCCTCGACACTGAGGAGTCTCACTGTAGCCATTAAACAAAGGATCAATACCTGGGAGGGCTGGAGGGAGAGTGTATATAGCAGGCACGGCGCTGGCCGGGCACAGTGCCACTCCGTAGGGTCCCCTCCGCCTCGCCGGCCCTGGAGGAAGCCCCAACCACAGCCCAAGAAACCAGGAAACAACAGCAAAATCCCAAGACGGCGCGACTGGAACAGGGACGTGGCTTTCCACATGACACCCAGCACGGGCCTGTCAACGACTAAAAACCACAAAGGTAAATGAGGGCGCGGAACATTTTTGCAGCTCAACATTAAAAAGGGGGCTAACAGCGAGTAGGGCGTTGGCCTTGCACGCAGCCAACCCGGGTTCAATTCCCAGCATCCCATATGGTTCCCTGAGCACCACCAGGAGTAACTCCTGAGTGCAGAGCCAGGAGGAAGCCCTGTGCACCGCATCGCTGGGTGTGACCGCCCCCCCCGCCCAAAAACACCACCCAAATAAAAAGAGTGCTAAGGGCAGGAAAGACAGCACAAAGGGCTGGCGCGCAAAGGGCTGGAGCTCGGGGTTCGACCCACGTGGGCCACTGAGCACTGAGGGGAGTGCACCCCAAGCTCCGGATAGGGAGCAGCCCTGAGCACTGCCAAGTATGACCCCCCCCCAAACGGAAAACAAGATTGCTAGGGGGTCAGGGAGAGCATTCAAAGGGCTGGAGTATGGAGGCCTGGCAGGCCCGAGGCAAGAATTCCATCCCCACAGCGCCCAGGAACTTGGGGTCAGAAAAGAACTCTACTGTCTGGTGTGAGCACCAGACAGCCAAGAGCAATGCCACAGTGAAGGACCCCAGCGTCCCTGCAGCATGACCCGAGGGAACGCCCATCCCCCCACAGTGGGGTCACAGTGGGCCAAGATTAGGAGGACAGAAGGAATCAACCGACATCGCGGAACACCTCACCCACCCCGCTAGAAGCAACCCCCCCCACCAGAGTTGGTCTCCGCCCTGCACTTACACCCTTCTCCCCGATGCCCCATGTGGCCGGGTGAAGCGCCAGAAGGACGAATGGCCTCAGAGGGCAGCCAAGTAAACCTAAACTTGGGCCAGCTGCACACCAGGGATGGAGCCACGGGTCGTAGAGGCAGACAGAGAGGGGAAAACGGAGCCAAGGTGATGGGTGGAAAGGAGGCGGCGAAGGCTGGGTTCGGGACTCTCGCGCCGGAAGGGAAGCCTCAGTCCCAACACCTCCCCAGGGCCCGGAAGGTAGACAGTGATGTGCAGGACCACGCCAAGCGAAAGCACGGCTAGCGGATGAAGGATGCAGAAGCCGGACAGGAGGAACACGCCCTGGGTCAAGGGACGAGGCTGAGTGGAAGGTGAGGTGGGAGTCGGGCCAGGCCTGTGTTCATCCCCGCCCCCCGCCCCCCAGCGGAAATGCGCCCGCCCGCCCGCCTCAGCTGGATCAGCTCTAGAGGAAGTAAAGGAAGCTACATCTAGATTTTTTTTTTAATAATTAAAGACCCTAATTACCTTCAAACTTATTTTTACTGCCGAAAGGTCACATGCAAAAAAAGTACAGAACATCAGAGCAACAACAGGGGATATTCGCATACAAACCGATTTTCATTCGAGCCAAATTTAAAGGGCAAACAATCCAAGCAGAAGGCAAAAAGGGCTAAGAATCCAGAATGATTCCGCCTAAGTTGCTTTGGTGAAGTCGGGCTTTTAGACTGTGTTTCTGGACCATGACCCTCAAGAAGAGAAACAGTTTACACAAATGACCAAGTAAACACACCACCTCAGCCTCATCGATTCACGCCTAACAATTAACAATGCACTGTAGCACTGTCCTCCCCGTTGTTCATGGATTTGCTCCAGTGGGCCCAGGAACACGGTGAGACTTGTTACTGTGATTGGCATATCGAATACGTCACGGGGAGCTTGCCAGGCTTTGCCGTGCGGGCGAGATACTCTCAGTAGCTTGCCGGGTTCTCCGAGAGGGGCGGAGGAATCGAACCCGGGTCGGCCGCATGCAAGGCAAACACCCTACCCGCCGTGCTATGGCTCCAGCCCACCCCAAGGAAGTAAATAACAATAATAGACAATACACCGCATCAAATGCGAGCTTTCCCCTGAGCTTAGTTTTTTTGTGGTGCTGCAGGCTGAAACTAGGGCTTGAAACCAGACCTCGTGCATGCAAAGCGCATGCCCGACACTGAGCGCCGGCCCCACACCTCGCCCCAGACCTTGCTCAGAGAAGAAAACCCGTTGCTGCCAACCAGCTAGTTTGATTTCATGATCTATGAAAAGTCTTGAAACAAAAACAGACCCATTTCTGGGTGAAAAGCAAATCCTGTACTAGGGAGATCTGTGCAAAGACGCCCAAGGAACGCTTTCTTGTCCCGACATTGCAAAAGAGTGAGCCCTGGTCAGCAGGAAGAGGACCCGGCGTGTGCTGGGCCGGGCCGGACCCCACCTGGCAGCAGGCATTCGGGGACCCCTTCCCGGCCAGCATGTGCTTCCCCACTCTGACAGCAGCTAGCTGGCTTCCTCAATTCTGACCGGAAAGGAGAGGACCCCCAAAACGGGGTAGAGACCATACTGTTTGCTTTAAGGAAATGGAGGCAGCCCCAAGGCCCAGACTTTGACCCCTGGGACCACAAAACCCAAGGCCTGGTCTCTGGCCCCCTCTAACCGCACCCCCAGGTCTGTATAGCCAGGGACCCTCCGGGAGAGGCCGCCACCCAGAAAATGTTCAACCGAGGGGCGACGACGGCCGTCTCAGGATACCTCGTCTCGTGTCTGTTCGGCAGGTCATGCTTGTCGGCTTGGAGCTTATGGGCCAACACCGAATGAAGATCGGACTTTTCCAGCAACTTGTTATCTGCCAAAAAAACAGAGAGAGGAAATCACGCCGGCCCGCGCGCACGTCATTCCTACTTGGGGCTTTATATGCGTTTGGATCCAAACCCCAGGAAACACTGGGCAGTTTCCCGCTCCGTCACTGATAGCAGGAACCCCGGTCACACACTCACACACCCCGGCCGAGCCGGCAGCCACCCCAGACCCCCATGAGAACATGTGCCCTCCCCACCTCAGGCCCTCACCACTGTTTCCTGCTCCCCACTGCCCTTGTCGACCGCGGGAGTAAAAGGAACATAAACACACCGGAAAAGTCAAAAGCTACGCAGCACCTCCAACGGGCGAGAGCTTTACCTCCTTACTAAACTGGGAGAACTTGGGGCCGGAGCGACGGTACAGTTCACAGGGCGTTTGCCTTAGTACGCGGCTGACCGGGGTGGGGGGTTCGATCCCCAGCACCACAAAGGGCGCCCCAAGTAACCAATTTTTAGACTGGCACGACCCAGAAGTTTCTGCCCTTGGGGTTAAGAGGAAAGGAAAGCAGAGCAGAGCTGTCGGGAAGGCGGCGTTGACACAGGAAAGCAGGGGCAGAAAGGCGGACCTGCCCCGACTAGCCACAGGAAAGCACTGGAACAAGATTCCCAAAGTAGATAGTAGGCGCTGCAGGGTACAGGGGGAAAGTACTGGCCATGCATGTACACGCGCCAGCCCCCAGTTCGATCCCGGGCACTGCATATGGTCCCCTGGGCCCCGCCAGGAGTGATCCCTGAGCACAGAGCCGGGAGAAAGAAAGCGCTGAGTGCCATGGGCGTGACCCCAAAAGCAAAAATAAACAAATCAAAGCAGGCCGTGACACAAGCATTTATTAGGTCAGAGATAACCCGGAGGTTCCTGGCTTAGGCAAACCGATGCAAGCAGCGAGTAGGAGCAGAGAGCCCAGAGAAGCAAGAACCTTCTGGAACGGATAAACGAGAGCGGTGCAGGATTCCAGGTCAGGACCGGAAAGGACAGTCAGAAACACAGGCACAGGCGGGACAGAGGCGGTGGCTTGTGACCCTGGTTCAAATCCCCTACGGGGCTAGAGAGCTGCTGGGCGTTCCCCAAAGAACAAACAAAACTGAAACCTATGGGGCCAGAGAGACAGGTGGGTATGGTGCCAGCCCCGGTTCAATCCCTGGCATCCCATCTCGGTCCCCTGAGCCCACCAGGAGTGACCCCTGAGTGCAGAGTCAGGCGTAAGTCCTGAGCATTGCCAGGTGTGGCCAAAAAAAGAAAAAATCCCCACCCACCCCCAAACTCCCAGTACCACAGCCTGAGCACAACCAGGTGTGCACCCCCGCAGGAACCAGTAAGGGAGGAAGGGTGGCGGGTGGCTGAGTGGTGTGCAGCTGAGTCAGAAGGTCCGGTCGCCTGCGATGGGGCGTCCGCAACCCGCAGTCTGCCCTGAGAGCCATTCTAGAACAAGCTCCGGGCGGGAGTTTCTGCCGGTGCCGGCTCTGCTGGAAAGCTTCTCCTAGAGTCTGAAAATGGGAACCCCAGGCGCACTGCGGTCGGCCACGCATCTGCTCGGTGGAACGGGGAAGTGGGTCCAATGGCAATGGTCACCACGCACACAGCCGACCGGGACTGCGTCAGGGGCTCTGATAACGAGCTGCAAAACGTGACCCAGAGGGGCTCTCCCAAAGAAGGTAGCCGAGGAGACCCTGGCGCCCAAGCCGGGGCAGGCACGATACAGGCGACTCGGGGTTGGTGGAGGATCAAAAGTCAGTGGCTCTGAAGGGTGGAGGGCGTTCGGCCACCCCAACAAAAAGGATCTCTCCCAGTGCCAATTCCTGGCCAGAGGGGGTCGCCCCCGCCCTGGGGGAAGAGTGCCTTCGTCCCATTCCCTGTGCTGGCACAGTGCTGGCTCTCTGCGCCACTTCTCTCCCGACTTCCCATCCTCCGGTCCCTTCAAATGTCCCTTTTCAAAGCGTAGGGACACAGGCCGGGGCAGTGACGGGCCTCCTGTTGACAAGTGATCACCACACCCAGGGCTTTCAAAGACACCACGGGCCGCGCAGCCTGGCTTCGGGAAACGAGCCGGGCAAGCTTCGCCCCGTTTTATAGAGCAGCAAACCAGACTCGGGAAGGCCAAGGGGAGGCGCTGGGCCACACAGGTCTTTAAAGGAGCTCTCGCCAAGCCCCCAACGTGCAGACTTCTGTCGCCTCGGAGGGAGTCCCTTCCCAAGGCGAGGGTGCCCTGCACCTCTGGTGAGCTCGGCCAGCCTCCCGGCAGACACAGAAGAAGCCAGTGCTTCTGGAAGTGAAGGAGCTGTGGGTACGGGCCTGGGGGCAGCCGGTGATGGACGCCACGCAGGGTGGCACGCTGGTGGAGCCTGTCCCCGGCTGCCACCCAGGATGAGACCCGGCTCTTGCGGAAAAGGGGCAGCACAGAACTTCCGGGAAAATGAAAAAAATCCCATGTGCCAAGCAGTTTCCACGACATTCAAGCCTGACTCACGCCAGCACTAACACCGACTGGGCTGTCACTTGGCTGATCCTGGGTGGAGAGCCGTGAAAGTCCCCAACAACCCTAAGGGGACGGGGGGGGGGGGGGGGGGGGGGGGGGTCCACCTCACCACGTCAACTCATGGGTTTCATCCCTGGGAGGGGCCCTTCAGGTGGCATCTGTGTGTGTGTGTGTGTGTGTGTGTGAAGCCACCCTGGGAAACCACGGGGACTAACCGGGGTGTCCTCCCCACCTTTTTTCTTTTTTTGAAAAGCTTCCCCAGAAGATGCTAAGGGGAAGTCAAGTCTGGAACCTTCTTGGAGCACAGCCAGCACACCATCACCCCGTGGTCTCTTTTTCCTTTTTGCTATTTTTTGGGGGGGGGGTCACACCCGGCGATGCACAGGGGTCCCTCCTGGCTCCTGCACTCAGGAATGACTCCTGGCGGTGCTCGGGGGGGGGGACCCTACGGGGTGCTGGGAATCGAACCCGGGGTCGGCCACGTGCAAAGCAAGACGCCCTCCCTGTTGTGCTATTGCTCCAGCTCCAAACCCCAGCTGTCAAAACCTGACACCGCACAGGGCCGACCCGCAGGTTCGATCCCCGGCGGTCCTCCCCCACCCCAAGGTCCATTCCACCCCCACCCCCACCCCCACCCCCACCCAGCAGGGCCAGGTGTGCCCCCGGCCCCCCGCCCCAGCCAAAAAAAACAGCCGGGAGCCAGAGGTCACGCTTCCCCTTAAAGGCGGTCGGGTGGGATTGGGACGTGGGGGAGGGGCGGCCAGGTCGCCCCCCGCCCCCCACCGCCAGAAGGGACCCCCCCCACCGGGCTCCGCTCGAAAAGAAAAACGGGGGAAAAAGGAATAGAAAGAAAAGACCGAAGAGCTGCAGGGCCGGCCGGGCGTGGCGCCCATATGGTCCCGGGAGCCCCGAGGCGCGGCGCCCGCGCGACGCCCCCCCGGCCCGCGCCCCGAGCCCGCGTGAGGGTCCCGGGCGCCCCCGCTCACACTGCAGGATGATCTCCTCGAACGCCTGCCGCTGCAGCCGGTCCCGGCGCCGCAGCTCCTCGGCGATGTGGCGCTTCCAGCGCGGGAAGTCGGCGGCGCGGAGGCCCGACGACATGTCGCCCGCGGCCGCCGGTCCGGGCCGGGCCGGGGTGGCGTGGGGCGGGGGTGGGGTGGGGGCCGCCGAGCGCCCCGAGCTCAGCACGCGCGGGCCGACCCCGAGGCCATCCGGGACGGGCTTCCGACTCCCGCCGGAAGCGGGCCGGCGCGGGACCGGAAGGCCCGCCTCCTCGGCCGCCGCCGCCGCCGCCGCGCGCAAGCGCAGCAGGCGCAGCAGGCGCAGCAAGCGCCGAGCCCGCCCTGGCCACGCCCACGCCCCGCCTCCCGGCGGGCGGAAGCGCCGAACGCGGAAGGGCCCGCAGAGGCGGCGGGCGGCCGCGGGGAGGCGCCTGCGCGGCGCGGGGAGGACGCGGCCCGGCCCCGGGGTCCCGGCGCCCGCGGGCCCTTCGCTCCTGCCCGCGCGGGGGCCGAGCCCGGGACCAGGCCGCTCGCGCCGGGGATGGTTGGGTGCCGACCTCCTGACGCCTGTGCAGTGACGGGCTGAAGGGATCGGTCAGACGGGGCTGAAGGGGTCGCGCGCGCGCGCACACACACACACACACACACACACACACGGGCTCAGACGGGGCTTAAGGGGTCTCACACACACACACACACACACACACGGGCTCAGACGGGGCTTAAGGGGTCGCACACACACACACACACACACACGGGCTCAGACGGGGCTTAAGGGGTCGCACACACACACACACACACACACACACGGGCTCAGACGAGGCTTAAGGGGTCGCACACACAAACACACACACACACACACACACACGAGCTCCGGGTGCCGACCTCCTAACGCCTGTGCAGTGACGAGCTGAACACATACACACACACACACACACACACGGGCTCAGACGGGGCTTAAGAGGTCGCGCACAGACACACACACACACACGAGCTCCGGGTGCCGACCTCCTAACGCCTGTGCAGTGACGAGCTGAACACACACACACACACACACACACACGGGCTCCGGGGATGGGTGCCGAACTTCTAACGCCTGTGCAGTGACGAGCTAAAGGGATCTGTCAAACGTGACTGATCACAGAATGAGAAGGAAGAGCGTGGGGCCTGCGAAACACACGCGCGCACACACACACACACATACACAAACACACACAGAGGAGAGTTCCCTGAACACCGCCTAGTTTGGGGGCGGAAGCAAAGTGGAGACGCTGCACAGGCGCTCGGCACGGAGGAACCAGGGCCTGAAAGGATATTTGAGTTGTCACAGAATGAAACACACACACACACACACACACACGAGCCTCCTCCCCCCCACCCCCCCCACACACACACCCCTGAGCACTGCCTAGTTTGGGGGACAAAGAGAAGGAATAGCCTTTTTTACCTGCCTCCTCCCTGCCCCCCCACCACACACACACACACACACACACACACACGCGGGATCCCTGAGCACTGCCTAGTTTGGGGGAGGAAGAGAAGGGGAGATGCTTCAGGGGCGTTCAGTAGGGAGGGACCAGAGTGTGGGGAGGACTTTTGGGGAATCAAAAAGGGAAAAACGTCTTCCTCATCCTGAAAAACAATGGAGTGGGTTCTGAGAGTAAGAGCGTCCCCAAATCAGACACCATGATCCCCACCTCAAAAGACCTGGGCAGATCTGGGCAGATCTGGGCACCTGATGGCTAATTTGCCAGCGGGGACTTGATGGGACTGTCAGAGCCAGCCACTTCACTTGCAGGGATTTTCACCAAGGAATGTTGAGGCAGATGGCCACACACAAACGTTTTGTTACAGCATCTGTGCCCCACAATGATAGATTATATTGGGCTGGAAAGATAATACAGCAGCTAGGGCGCTTCCCTGCCTGGGTTCAATCCCCGGAACCCACACGGGGCCCTGAGCATCTTCAGGACTGATCTCTGAGCTCAGGGCCAGGAGTAAGCCCTGAACACCTCCAATTGTGACCCCCAAACCAAATAATAATAGTAATCATGAATCACAGCGTTTCCTGCCCAAGAAAAGTTCACCATCAATTAATAGATGTGTCCATCTATTCTGTGTAAAATGAGTACACCCCTAGATCCTCCTAGGCCGCTGCGAGTGAATGGCTCAAGAATTTAGTTCCCAGACTAAGGAGAGTCAGTTTTGAGAGGCCAGCCTTCTCCCTGAGTCACCAACAACTCATGGACACTATTAGCCATAAGGACCTCTTCTTCCTCCCCCTCCTGCCCAGGGGCTGTAGATCACCCTGGTCCAGATACACCCTGGTCTCCTGCATTCTTGGTGCGGGTTCGTAGCTGGGTAGACACTTCCTCACAACCTTCACCTAACAACTCTTTGCAAGAGTGTCTAGTGCTCCTATTAGGGAGATCCCTGAGAGCAGTGATCTCAATGGAAGTTTTGCACATCCCTATATCATTACTTAAGGTGTGTCTTAAGTGCTCGAGCAGGCCCAGTAATTTGCTCGAGCAGGCCCAGTAACGTCTCCATCGTGAGACTTGTTACTGTTTTTGCATATTGAATACATCACGGGTAGCTTGCCACACTTTGCCATGAGGGCGAGATACTCTCGGTAGCTTGCCGGGATCTCCAAGAGGGGCAGAGGAATTGAACCCGGGTCGGCCAGGCCGGCCGCATGCAAGGCAAATGCCCTACCACTGTGCTATCGCTCCGGTACTACATAGGCAAGAAAAAGGTGAGGGAGGTGGATGTGTTTATTGAGGGAACCAATTAGACATCAAGGTCCTAGGCTCAGTGGGAGACGGGGACACATATACTTCTCCAGTGCTGTGCGCCTTGTTGCTTCTGAGTATTACACAGGTCGAAACTCTAAGTCCTCCCAGCAATCCTCTTCCGCAGGGTTTTAAGAGCTGCCTCCAGCCTCTGCACCCTTCTTTCTGAGAGGGATCATGGGTGTGGAGAACCAAAGTAACTTTCAGGCCCAAGCAGTTAACATTAGCATCAGAACCCGTAATCACTGCACTCCGTAATCCACTGTCTGCCCCAGTTCACATCGCTGTTTGCTCAAGTGCAAGAGTCAAACAGAGTAATTTGAAATGATACGTAAGTAGTGAATTTCTGTATGAGCTAAGTGGGAGGCCACCCTGGTGAGGAGCAAGGTCAGTGATGAGGAGGCCGTGGGTGCCTTCCTTGAGGGTCCTTGAGGAAGTGGTGGGATGGAGGAAGAGGAGAGTGGAGACAAGGAGGTTGAATGTTCTTGAGACAGAAACGAGAACTTGAGTGATGTCACTCTGGTAGCAATCGGTGTCTAAGCGATTCAGCATGCTCTACTAGAAAGAAGCATCTCTGAAAAAGATTCTGACCACTCCCGAAGGGTGAAAGCTAAATGGAAAATGTCCCAAGATTCTCCCAGCTGTAGAGGAAGCCCAATAAATGTGTTCACAGAAGAAAGGAAGAGGCCTCATTTATCACAGATTGTTCTCTGTGGAAAGTCCTGTCTCACTGAAGCGAAGCAGAAGCAGATGGAATATAACTGCCTTTCCGTGGAGCGTCTCTGCTGCTAAAACTCTAGAAGATTTTTACCTTAACATCACCTACACATCACCTGGCATCTGAGAGATCTCTAGTACACTCTGATTCTAAGGAATTCCAGTCCCATCCCCAGAGAAGCCTGTTTACATTCTTGCTCTTTTTTCTGTTTGTTTTTTTTGCTTTTTGGGTCACAACCAGAGACACACAGTGGTTACTCCAGCCTCATGCACTCAGGAATTACTCCTAGCAGTGCTCAAGGGACCATAATATGGGATGCTGGGGATTGAAACCTGGTGGGCCGCGTGCAAGGCAAACGCTCTACCCGCTATACTATCACTCCAGCCCCTCCCTTTGCTCTTTTCTGGTCTCCTTTATGTCCCAGTCTTGTCTAAGGACTGCCCACCCCCAGGAGCTCTGGAGGAAGGGAGGTCTGAAGGTGAATTACGTAAGAATCACTTGATCACTTGACTTCCCGTTAATCATCCATTTGCTCGAGCGGGCGCCAGTAATGTCTCCATTTGTCCCTGTTGCGTGCTAGTGTAGCCCAATGGCGTCTGATGATACCATTTCACCGAAACTCTTCAGTGCCACCCTCGAGAACATCATGCGACGACTGGAATGGGAAGGAATGGGAGTGAAGATAGATGGTCGGCAACTACACCACCTCCGCTTTGCTGATGACATTGTTTTAATAACACCAAACATCAGCCAAGCGGCACAAATGCTGGCCGACTTCGACCGTGAGTGTGGAAAGGTAGGACTACAGCTGAATCTCACAAAGGCAATGTTTTTTTTTTTTTGTCTTGTTTTGTTTTGTTTTGTTTTGTTTTGCTTTTTGGGTCACACCCAGCAATGCTCAGGCGTTACTCCTGGCTTTGCACTCAGAAATTACTCCTGGCAGTGCTTGGGTGACCATATGGGATACCAGGGATCGAACCCAGGTCGGCTGTTTGCAAGGCAAACGCCCGACCCACTGTGCTATCACTCCGGCCCCAACGAAGGCAATGTTTATGAGAAACAACCTCGTTCCTGATGCTCCATTCGCTCTCAATGGAACGACCATCTCTGAATGCAACAGTTATGTGTACCTCGGTCGAGAAGTCAACATGATGAATGACCTGGCACCTGAGTTGCGCAGGAGGAAGAGAGAGGCTTGGAATGCCTTCAAGAGCTCGAAGAAATAGCTACGAGGACAAAGAACAGACAAAGAACCTCCGGCTCCAGGCACATTTCTTCGATTCCACTGTTCTTCCTGCATTAACATTCGCCTCAGAGACCTGGGCCCTATGCAAAAAGGATGAGAACGCTATTAGGGGTCTCCCAAAAAGGAATCGAAAGAGCTATGCTTGGAGTATCACGTTTCACTCAAATGAGAGAAAGAATCCAGAGTTCTGACCTCCGTCTATAATCAAGAATCACGGACGCTGTCTCATTTGCCAAGGCGTCAAAAATCAGATGGGCTGGACACATAATGAGATTTGGAGACGACCGCTGGACTAGAGCCGTTACCGACTGGATTCCACAGGATGTCAAAAGACCCCGTGGCCGCCCACCTACCAGATGGTCAGACTTCATC